AGTGCTCACACCCAGCTTCTCCCATTCCCAGTGAGCACTGACACACACACAGTGCTCACATCCAGCCTTCCCCATTCCCAGTGAGGCACTGACACTGACACACACACACACACACAGTGCTCACACCCAGCCTTCTCCCCTTCCCCACTCCCAGTGAGGCACTGGCACACACAGTGCTCAAATCAAGGCACTGACACACACACAGTGCTCACATCCTCCCCACTCCCAGTGAACACTGACACACACATAAAGTGCTCACATCCAACCTTTCCCACTCCCAGTGAGCACTGACACAAACACAGTGCTCACATCTCCCCTTCCCCACTCCCAGTGAGGCTCTGACACACACACACACACACACACACACACACACACACACACACTGCTCACATCCTCCCCATTCCCACCCCAGCACTGGGAACACACCCCAGCCATGCCCTGCCCAGCTCCTCTCACCCCCACCATGCAGAGGGGCATTTCTGCTCCTCCCCAGGAAGAGATTCCAAAATGCCAGGCTGGTGCCTGGCTCTGAATAGTGCAGTTATTTTGCTGGAAGAATGGCCCACTATGACCAGCTCAGTCAGGAGGATGGCAAGTGGCCAGAGGAATATTCTGGCAACATCACAGAGGGCTCTGTGACCCAAGTGAAGCTGTCAGGAGAGGCTGGCACAAAGCTTTGGTACCTTTGTGCTGTGTTCTCATCATGGCAGTACCTTACACCACCTCATTCATCACTGGCTGGGTGCTGCTGCAAATCTCAGTGTCTGTGCCCCCTCTGGGACCAGGGAACACAGAAAGGAGCTCACCTTGAGCTGTCATTTCAGCCCTGAAATCCCAGCTTCTCCCCACCTCTCTAAAAGCTGAGAGGAGCTTAAGGAAAAGCTGAGCCCAGGTCAGAAAAGCCTGGATTACTGCTTTAGGCTGTTCTGCTCCACAGCACTGCCCAGTGAGCACTGCAGCACTAAGTGAAGTCTGCTGTCAGCCCAAGGGCAGAGAACAGTAAAAACAGTGACCTCTGGTATGAAACTGAGCCACAGGGATGTGAGGGGCCCATTCCCAGCTCTGGGAATGGAGAACACATCCCACCCATCCTGAAAGGTGTGGCAGGAAAGACCCAAACCAAACAGATCCTACTGCTGAGCTGATGAAATCACTCCAATCCCCTGTGCTTCAGCTGTTTCTGTACTCATTGTGCAGAAATCTCATCTCTCATGGGTCCAGCTGCCTTCTGGCTGTGCCTCTTATCAAAATCACTGCCCAGAACCAGAATGGAAAAGTTTTGCCTGACTATATGTGACAGAATCCTCACAGACACTGAGCCCTGTTGGGGCAGCCCAGTGACTCCCAGAGAGCTTTGCACAGTCATTGTCCATGATAGCAGCTGGTGTGTCAGCAATTAAATTCCTTGTTTTAAATTACCCGCACACACAGAGCTTCTACATGTCATTAGCATCTGTAAACTGCATCCCTGATGTAAAAAAAAATTAAAATAAAGTGCTTATACTTGTTGGATTTCTTCTCTTGTAATTATTGAGTCCTCTCTTCTAGCACAGCTGCCTCTGTCCTGATTGTCACTGTCCCAGCCAGGTCCCAGACCTGCCTTTAGGACTCCCAGAACTGACCTGCAAAGCCCATGTTTGGCTAAAACAAGGGCAAAACCGAGGGGAAGGGAGAGAAGGGAGCACGGTGTTGGAACTCAAAATGTCCCTCAGACATTTTTGGAGGTTCCAGGCCCAGGTCAGAAGCATTTGAGACCCTGGCAGGCAGCTGCAAACAGCTGTGATTTTGGGTTTGAGCCATGGAATGATTTACCAACCTTGCAGGAAGAACAAGAAGTCACAAAAGTTTAGATATTAGAGTAGAAGTAGTCACAAAGTAGAGGGAAGAATTTTTGAGTGCTGTACAGGGGGGGTTTGGTTTTGTACATGGGGGTCAGAGGTTTTAAGATGGATTTGGGATTTGGGCCTGTCCTGTCCTCCCTCTTTCTCCTTCCTTACCTCCATGTTCTTGGTGATGTTGGCACTCCCAGATTGGTTTAGAGTAGAAAAGCACCATTTAATATAGGTAATAGGCATTGGGAAAAACTGTAACCATGTAACACGGAATGTACCATATAAAAGATAGAAAAGCACCATTTAATATAGGTAATAGGCATTGGGAAAAACTGTAAACATGTAACACGTAAAATACCATATAAAAGACAGCAGCAGCCCTGGGCGGGAGAGAAGAAGCAGTCGGGGTCAGAGAGGATGTCAGGGTGTGTGTGTGCCTCTGCCTGAGCTGTGAGCAAACCACAGCAGCCCAGAAGAAAATCTTTTAGCTAACTTGCAATAAACTGCCTTGAGACCAACAACAGAGACTGCTGAGCCTTTCTTTGGAAGCTCGGGTTGGAGGAGGGAGTTTTCCAACCCACGGAACCCCTGAACCAGGCCGGGGTTCCGTCAGCACAGAACTCCAGGAGCACAGATAAACCAAAGGTATTTAACGTTGGCTGAGAAGGAAAACAGGAAAAATCATCACTTACACAAAGCTGATGACAAGGAGCAGCTTGGAGACACTCTGCAGGTGGAAGCCACTGGGGCTCTCCTCGGGGATGTGCCGTGTCTGAGTGGAACCTGAGGAGATGGGATGCATTTGGGATGGGAAACAGGGAAGAGCCACCCCTGCTGTTCTACCCACCCCTCCAGCTCACCCCAACAACCCCAGCACTGCCCCTCTGTGACAGCACCCCCGTCTGTCCCCATCCCCAGGGCCCTGCTCACCTGCCACGTGCTTGATTCGATGGGCAACCTCCTCGTCCGTGGGGGTGGTCACGGGGCTGAGCACCTCCTCCAGGTGTGGCACCCTCAGGTGGGCGTGGGCGCGTTTCCGCCGCCGCACCGTGGATTGCTTGCTCACCTTCTCTTTGGGGGATTGTCTGTGCACCTCAGCCAGGTACGTGCTCTCTGTTTTGGTCAGCTCGCTCTCTGCAGCACCAAGGGGGAGCATTAGAAGTGTGGCTTTGCAGGGAGAGAAAGGTTGAACCCCTCTGCTGTGATGCCTTAGTTTATTTGAGTTAATATTTTAGTTATTATTTATTTTAGTTAATGTTTTTGTTATTCTTTATTTTATATTTGCCATCTATTTGTAACCTGCAGTTCTTTAGTGTAGAACTCCAAACTCCATATCCAGTCTGAGCTGCTGCTTCCCCATTTGGGCAGACACAACAATTCCTCTCCAGGCCTGGCAATCAAGGACACCTCACTGCCTCAGGCCAGAGATGGAAACAAAACTGAGTTTGGGGAGAGCAATCCTGGGGTCAATGACTTCATTAGCTGAAGCTGTAATTGGCAGATTCACCCCCAAAATGCAAATGGACCAAACTTATAAAAGTGTGAAAACCTGTGACCAGTTGTCCATTTTTGGGTGTAGTCCTGGAGGGCTTCATCTACCCTAAAGGTACCTGAAGGCCCTTCAATAAATAGAACTGCTTTTTATTCTCTTCATTTTGTCTGGCCTCTGTTTTTAGGCAGCCCCAAAAAAGGCATCAGCTGGGCCAAAGCAGCTGGCAGGGTCTGAGAGATTTGTGTTCCACATTCCTTGCACCTTTTACCAAAATTTGACCCCAAAGTGCCTGACAGGGAGCAGGATTTGATGCCCTGATTAATTCCAGCAGGTAATTTACTCCAGCTGTGGTAGCCCCTTTTGTAAACCACCCCAAGGCTGGATCATGCTGCCCACTCGCAGGGAAACACGAGTGCTACTGTCACTGCCACTCTTACCCAAGTGACGGAAATAATCTTCCAGGCCACTCCAAAAATTCTTCTCAATGAAGGATTTCACCAGCCCCCAAGGCTGTTTCCTGTAGCGCAATTCTGTGGAAACCCTGTGAGGAGGAGAAGGTCAGTCATATTCTCCTGGTTTTGCTTCCTGGGGGTGATGTCAATTCACCACCTTTGTCAGTGTAAATCCAGGAAATAATCATGTACACTGTTATTTCTGGAATGCTCTCAGCCCTTCATGCTTCCAGAGGAGAAGCACTGCTGGAAAAGTCCTTCCAAAGGCAGGAAGAGCCCCTCCCAAGAGTGCTGCAGGGCCATTTGGCAGACATTTAGATTATCATTATTGAAGTCACACAGAGTCACATGGATATAACTTTGCCCAGTACCCAATTCCTCTGCTTAGTCCTAGCAAGTTCATCCTGTGTCTATCACAGTCTGCAGATAACAAGCTCTGCAAACCCCTGCATCTAAGAGAGAGGCAAGAAAAATCTGTAAATCCTCTCCCTTATGCAGCTGTAACTCGTCTGCACTGACATCAACCCCGCAGGTGAAAATCCTGCCCCTATTCTTGGTGACAGGAATGTCCCAGCAACAGGACAACGAAAAAACCCCCTCAACCCCTCCTAACACACCCAAACAGCAAAACCCCTTCCCAAAAGTGCTTTTTGCCCATCATTCCCTCTCCAGGAGAGGTACCTGAGTCGGCTTTTGTTTCTGGCGACACGAGTCAACGTGTAGCGGTTAATGGTGTAGAAATAATCGTGGTAGGGGACGTCGTGAGTTAGCACCTCTGCATCTATGACATAGCACTCGCTCTCCTGGCTGGCTTTGTACATTGTCTGCAGGAAAAACAGCATGCAAGGCAGCTCTGAGTGTGGTCAGGAGGCTGCTCAGAGAGATTGGCACCTCCAGCAGCACTTGGCAAACAGGAGACACCCCCACGCCCCAGCCTTGCCTCTGCAGCTCTGCTGTGAGCAGCTCACCCCGAAGGGAAGGCAGAGGAAAACAAGGGTTTCACCCAGATGCTTCTTGTGGGCACATTTTAAAAAGGGCATTCAGCTGCTGCCTCCAGGATTTTGTAACAGAGGTGTTACACACAGTGCCATGGGGGGACTGGCTCACTGGGACCTCTCTTCTGGTGTCTGCCTTGTCGTGGACTCACCTGAGGTTTGAGCAAAAGTTCTAGCTAATACATTTTCTGGCATAAATGATTCTGTGATTCTAAACACCATAAAAGCACATGGCTTTCTTGTTTGAAGTGCTTCTGGTGTGTTTTTCCCTTTGCTCCAGAGCAAAGCTCGCCCAGAGGACAGACAGACACAGCTCAGCACAGATCCCTGGACAAAGCATGGCTTTTGCTGCAGGCTGCTCCCACTCAGCTCTGCAGTGAGGACACACAGGGGGTGATTTGGTGCTTGAGCCAAACCAGAATTACATAAGCCATGGTTTGTTAGCTGAGAGTGTGCTGTTCCCTTTGCTCATCCCGTTCTTCTCCCTTTTCCTTTCTGCTCCCTTCACCTTTCCTTCTCTGCAGCCCCTCTCCTCACAAGTCCCACCTTGCTGCTGGCATCCTCCTCTCTGAAATGTGGTGCTCAGACCCCTTTTCCTGGCTCTCTCTTAGCAATCCCTAAAGCTCACTCTTGGTATTTACCCTTGGCCACTTGAACACATCTCTGGACATGGAAAGAGGCTTTTCCTCCCTGCTAGATACAGCCAGCCTGGCCCCTCCCAGTGCACTGAAGATCTTCCCTTTTGTATCTTTTTAAATAGATCATCTCACTGTCCTCACCACAATAAAAAATCCACAACACCCTGTAGGGTGTGAGAAGGACAGGTCAGGCAGTAGCTGACTTCCTTGAGTAATATCTGCTGAGCTGAGCATAGCTCAAAAAAACACCACTTTGGGTGAGAAAAACACTGCCTTGTTCACAAACTCAGCTGCTTTTGGTGGGAAATTTGTGCTGCTTTCATTGCAACCCAAATTTCACTGCTGGCTTAACTATTCATGGCTGCAGTGATACTGCGCAGCAAGTTAAACCAAGGAAATGTGAACAGGAAAATGGGCAGGGATAATGAAAACATGCTCAGGACAAGAAAATAACTCTCAGAGAAGTTTCTACCAAGTGTTCCAGCCCTGCTCCACTGTCACCTACCTGAGTCTCAGTGACGGTGGCAGTTTTGGGGGCCAGAGGGTTGGTGAGGGTGATGGTGTACAGGATCACTCTGGTCTGATTGCCGTTTTCCTCCTTCTTCCAGGGGTGAAAGATAATATCTGAGAGGACAAAACAACACTGCAGTCAAGTAACTGGGGAGGGATCTCTGGTCAGTCCCCTGGGGAAAGGCACAGCCACATAACCAAGCTGGGGATGGGATTTCCTTCCCCTTGGGGAGCCTGGCTGCTCTAGAGCTCAGCTGAGTGTGAAATAAACAGTTCCTTTGGTAAATGTAAATATTTTCACCTCTTTCAAGTGCAGGGAAATGGGGAGAGCCTGGGGACTTATCTCCCTTAGCAAATATACAGTTACAGGGAAAGGACTATGACATGCCAAAGGATTCTCTCTGCAGCTCTGTCCATGTCAGGTGTGGAGCTTTTCCCTCAGACTGTTAACCCTTGAACAGAAGATCAGGCCTTACGTGATGATAAAATATTAAGAAAATCAGCTTTTTCCATAAAAACGCTCTTCCAGCTGTTGGAAAATGAAACCAGATGGGCACACAGTCCTGCTGCTTTTGGCTACCACCAGCACAGGCCATGTTATCCCAAAATCTGCTCAGAATGTCATCCAAACAGGCAAAATTGTACCTCCGATGTCGGAACTCAAAATGCCCCTCAGAAACTTTTGGAGGTTCCAGGCCCAGGTCAGAAGCATTTGAGACCCTGGCAGGCAGCTGCAAACAGCTGTGATTTTGGGTTTGAAACATGGAATGAGTTACCAACTTTGCAGGAAGAACAAGAAGTCACAAAAATTTAGATATTGAGTAGAAGTAGTCATAAAGTTGAGGGAAGAATTTTTGAGTGCTGTACAGGGGAGTTTTGGTTTTGTACATAGGGGTCAGAGGGTTTAAGATGGATTTGGGATTTGGGCCTGCCCTGTCCTCCCTCTTTCTCCTTCCTTGCCTCCATGTTCTTGGTGATGTTGACACTCACAGATTGGTTTAGAGTAGAAAATCACCATTTAATATAGGTAATAGGCATTGGGGAAAAACTGTAAACATGTAACACGTAATGTACCATATAAAAGATAGAAAAGCACCATTTAATATAGGTAATAGGCATTGGGAAAAACTGTAACCATGTAACACGTAATGTACCATATAAAAGATAGAAAATCACCATTTAATATAGGTAATAGGCATTGGGAAAACTGTACCCATGTAACACGTAATGTACCATATAAAAGATAGAAAATCACCATTTAATATAGGTAATAGGCATTGGGTAAAACTGTGAACATGTAACACGTAATGTACCATATAAAAGACAGCAGCAGCCCTGGCGGGGAGAGAAGAAGCAGTCGGGGTCAGAGAGGATGTCAGGGTGTGTGTGTGCCTCTGCCTGAGCTCTGAGCAAACCACAGCAGCCCCAGAAGAAAATCTTTTAGATAACTTGCAATAAACTGCCTTGAGACCCAACAACAGAGACTGCTGAGCCTTTCTTTGGAAGCACAGGTTGGAGGAGAGACTTTTCCACCACACGGAACCCCTGAACCAGGCCAGGGTTCTGTCACTCCAAGGCAGAGCCCTTCCCCTGCAGCCCTGGGCAGCTCCAGCAGCTCACCAGAGAAGCGGCGCTGCTCCATGAAGTCCCTCTGGAACTGGGAGTCAGTGAAGAGCAGGTCGTAGAGCTTGTCCACGCTGAAGTTGAACACCTCGTTCACGTACTGGCGGCCGTTCAGGTCCTCGTAAAAGGCTTGGACTTCCCCTGTGGGGAAAGAGAGACTCAAGGTCCAGCCATGACCCTCCAGGTGATGAAAAATGTGCTTCCACAGCACCAATATTTCAGAAGAAATCTAAAGGAGGGAGTTCAACTGATGCCTCAGGTTTAACTTTTATACTTTTCACATTCTGTGCTGCTTCAGTGTGTGGGTCTGGGTTTCACATGAGGGGATGCTGAGCTCTCTTCACATAGCAGAGACAAAACAATTCCTGCTCCAGCTGGGCACCAAGGACAAATGATCCAAACCTCAGCCCAGGAGCACAAACACCGTGGGCTGGAGAGAGAAAAACAAGCAGGATGGGACTGCCTGGGCTGAAGCTGGAATGGGACAATGAACTCCAAGGTGCCAATGGAGCAGAACTGATCCCAGGGAGAGCCCCCGGGAGCGCTCGTGCATTTTGGGACCATTTTGGTTCATTTTGGGACCATTTTGGTTCATCTTGAGCTCATTTTGGGACCATTTTGGTTCACCTTGGGTTCATTTTGGGACCATTTGGGTTCATCTTGGGTGCAGCCCTGGCTGGGCTCTGGTGCTGCCCAAGGTGGATCCATGGAGGAGATCCTTTGAATAAATCCCTGCTTTATTCTTTAGCTCTGCCCAGCTCTGTTCTAGGCCAGCCTTCATAAGGCAACAGAACTCTTTTCTTGCACTAACCCCAGGGCAAGAATCTGGGACATAAGAAGGGACAATTAATTACACTGCTTATTTTAGGGACACCCTAAATTTTTTAGGCACATCCTGAAATGTAAACACATTTACTTTCTGCAGCCCACAATGGGAATTCTTTGCATCTGCAGGGTCCAGAAAAGATTTCAGTAGGCACCACTCCATCCCCTGACAGGGAAGGAAGGGATAAGGCAGGAATAGCCCTGATGGAGTGGCCTTTGCCCACGTACCTTCATCGTGGGTGTCTGAGGAGTCACTGAGCTCTGTGGGAATGTCTTCGTTGTCATTGAAGTCCAGGGAGGGGGAGTTCACAGGGCCAATGATGTCGATCTTCTCTCCCATGATGTTGGCAATGCCAAGGTCTTTCTCCACAGGACTCTCTGCCACTGCCTCCTCCTCTTCTGGGAGCACTCCATCGAACTGCAGCAAGGACAGGGCACAACAAGGGCAAGATCAGCACCTGGAAATGGGCTTTATTTCAAAATACCTCACATCTGCGAGCCAATTTCTGAATATTCCTTGAGACATCTGGAAATTAAATAGAAAGAGGAGGACATTTGCCATACATTGTTTGTAAAACCTCCTCTCAAAAAATCAGTGTTCAAGTTCTGGACACCACCAGGATTTTTGCTCAGACAAGCACAATATTGTCTAATACTGGGTTTGTTCCTGAACAAGCTAAAAGAACCTGAGGTAATATCTAAACAAGGTCTGCTTTGCCATAATACCAGGAGGGTACACACTGTTTTCCAGGGAATAACTGAAGGCAGGGAAGGAATTATAACCCTTTTATATCCAAAACTTTTCCTGCAGAAGTATAGAAAGGAAAATGCTCTCACTGCTGAGAGTCCCAGTGACAAAATCACTGACCAAGGACTGAAATCACCAGGAGCTGGAGGATGAACAAACCTCATACGACCCACGGGGTGTTGGATTTCAGGGAAAACAAATTCCTGCTGCCAGGAGAGGGAGAAAACTCACCGAGGCTGGGGCTTCACTGCTGCCCGTGGAGGTCAGGGTGCTGGCAGTGACAGATTTCTTTGGCAGCTGAGGGCTGGCTTCTGGCTTGGCCTCCATGCTGCTCTTGGAGGAGCTGTCGTTGACTTCATTCTCCTCCACGGGGATTTCTTCGCAGTAGCTGGGACGCCACAGAGAACACAGGTTTTTATGGTTACCCCTCTCACAACAGCTACAGCTGCACACACAGAGCAAGTGAGAATGTTTCTATGAAGTTTCCAGGCTTCCAGAAGCAGGAATGGCTCAGTGCTGAAGAGAGCAAGCCCCAGTTTTTTGGGTGTTTATACAGGGACTGACAAGCATCAGCATTTTTTGGCCGTGCAACACTGCCTGGCCTTGTGACCAGTGGGGTGCTTTGGCATTTCTAGAATTGCTCAGCTGGCTCAGCAGCCATTTCAGTCCATCCCAGTGTGCCTTAAGTTTCAGCTTTTATATTTTTCAGATTCTGTGCTGCTTTAGTTTGTAAGTCTGAGCTTCACATGAGGAGATGCTGAGCTCTGTGCACAGAGCAGGGACACAAAACAATTCCTGCTCCAGCTGGGCACCAAGGACAAATGATCCAAACCTCAGCCCAGGAGCACAAACACCGTGGGCTGGAGAGAGAAAAACAAGCAGGGTGGGACTGATGGGCTGGAGCTGGAATGGGACAATGAACTCCAAGGTGCCAATGGAGCAGAACTGATCCCAGGGAGAGCCCCCGGGAGCGCTCGTGCATTTTGGGACCATTTTGGGACCATTTTGGAACCATTTTGGGTCATCTTGGGTGCAGCCCTGGCTGGGCTCTGGTGCTGCCCAAGGTGCATCCATAGAGGAGATGCTTTTTATAAATTCCTGCTTTATTCTTCAGCTCTGTCCAGCCTCTGTCATTAGTATAGAATAATATAATCTAAGACGATATAATAATGCAATTGGTCAGCCTTCTGCAATCATGAAGTTAATGTTAATTATTAGTAGCTAATGCTAATTATTAAACATAATATAAGATGATATAATAAAGCAATTGGTCAGCCTTCTACAATCAGGGAGTCAATGCTAATTATTAGTAGTAAATGCAAATTATTAAATATAATATAAGATGATATAATAAAGCAATTGGTCAGCCTTCTGCAATCATGAAGTCAATGCTAATTATTAAATATAATATAAGATGATATAATAAAGCAATTGGTCAGCCTTCTGCAATCATGGAGCTAATGCTAATTATGACATAATAAAGCAATTGGTCAGCCTTCTACAATCAGGGAGTCAATGCTGATTATTACTAGTTAATGCTAATTATTAAATAGAATAGAGGATGATAGAATAAAGCAATTGGTCAGCCTTCTGCAATCATGGAGTTAATGCTAATTATTAGTAGTTAATGCTAATTATTAAATATAATATAAGATGATATAATAAAGCAATTGGTCAGCCTTCCGCAATCATGGAATCAATGCTAATTATTACTAGTTAATGCTAACTATGAAATATAAGACGATATAATAAAGCAATTGGTCATCCTTCTGCAATCATGGAGTCAATGCTAATTATTACTAGTTAATGCTAACTATTAAATATAAGATAATACAATAAAGCAATTGGTCAGCCCTCTGCAATCAGGGAGTCAATGCTAATTATTACTAATTAATGCTAACTATTAAATATAATATAAGATGATACAATAAAGCAATTGGTCAGCCCTCTGCAATCAGGGAGTCAATGCTAATTATTACTAGTTAATGCTAACTATTAAATATAATATAAGATGATACAATAAAGCAATTGGTCAGCCCTCTGCAATCAGGGAGTCACAATGTTAATTATGATACAATAAAGCAATTGGTCATCCCTCTGCAATCAGGGAGTCAATGTTAATTATGATACAATAAAGCAATTGGCCATCCCTCTGCAATCAGGGAGTCAATGCTAATTATGATACAATAAAGCAATTGGTCGGCCCTCTGCAATCAGGGAGTCAATGCTAATTATGATACAATAAAGCAATTGGCCATCCCTCTGCAATCAGGGAATCAACGCTAATTATCCCCCTGCCCCGCAGAGCCCCGCACTCACCCCATGGTGTTGAAGTCGTCGTCGGGGGGCACGTAGTCCTCGTCGTCGCTGGTCAGCCCCAGCTCGTTGCCGTAGCACTGGTGCACGAAGTGCCAGAGCTCCTTGGGGCACAGGGGCTGGCGGGACACAGGTCAGCGGGAGAGGTTTCAGTGCCAGAGCACACCGGGAAAGGGGATTCACTGCCGGGAGCAGCGGCTGTGCCCTGAACCCCCGGGGAGTGAGGGGCTGAGAGCCCAGGGCAGAGCCCTGCTGTGGGAGTTCATTTTATTTTATGGAGTTCACTATTATTTAATTGTTAGAAATTGAGGGGAGAGCCCCGCTGTGGGCAGGCTGAGAGAAATCCTATTTTATGGGGTTCACTATTATTTAATTATTATAAATTGAGGGGAGAGCCCCGCTGCGGGCAGGCTCAAAGAAATCCCATCTTATGGAGTTCACTATTATTTATTATAAATTGGGGGGAGAGCCCTGCTATGGGCAGGCTTGGTGAAATCCCATTTTATGGAGTTTACTATTATTTAATTATTAGAAATTGAGGGGAGAGCCCCGCTGTGGGCTCAGCTCTGTGAAATCCCATTTTATGGAGTTTACTATTATTTATTATTATAAATTAAGTATTATATAATATAATATAAGAATCAAAAGGAGTTTGTGTCAGCAGACACCCCTGTGAAACATAAAAAAAAAAAAAAAAAGTAAAATAAAAAGAAAATCAATTATCAAAACCATAGAAAAAAAGCCCAGATTTTAGGGATGCAGGTCAGTGATCACCACATGACTGTGACATGGGGCTCTGAAAAATGGGGCAGGAAAACTTGTGATTTAAAAATGTGGTACAGGGATGAAAGGGGATTTTTACCCCGAAGAAACTTATGACCAACAACAAAGATTTTTTGGTAATGAGGGGGAAACAAACCCAGTGAACTTTTTCTGAGTTGCTGGCTTGAATTTCCTCCCGTAGTAACTGCATGGGATAAGGCAGGAATTTTTGAATTTTTTAATCTAGCTCCCCACAGGAGCAGCCAAAAGCATCAGGGGGGGAAAAAAAGCCTCGTGACTGTTCCACCTCCTTCCCACACACATCAACGCACATCCACGTGTGATCAGGAAAACTGCCCATGGTAAGGTGATCCTTTTCCTCCTAAATCCCAGCCCAGTTTTTGGGACAGGGTTGAAATGTAAATTTTAAGGAATTTAAAGATTTTAGAGGAGCTAAGATTTGAGTTAAAGATAAGCCTCACTAGAGTTAATTAAAATAAATGAGTAGGCCTTGATGAAGTTAAGAGTTAGTAGTTAACTCATAAGTGATTGCTTGTCAGCACAATGTTGAGTTAGCTGGGTTTATAATGAAGAATATAAACTGACAAAGAGCTTTTAGGAACATCAGACAATTGTGGCCTCCTCTGTTCTGAAACCAACTGAAGACAAGGAATGGGAATTCTACCAAGAGTTCATTTGTCAGATTGGCATTGAAAAGGTGGAAAGGTCAGAAGGAGGAAGACTCCATTGACTTCCTCATTTTGGGACCCCTCCCCATGGAAGGGACACCGACCCATTCCAAGGAACAAACCACGCATGCTGAATGGCTTTTGGAGTGATCAGCAGAGGAAGTGGGGAATGGGATGTACCAAAATGATGAATATGGATTTGTATTTTGGGTATTCAACACTTGGATGGATAAAAGGGCTCTGTAATCACCTGGAAGCTGCGGTGTGGATTTGGAAGTGATCCCACACACAATAAACACACACTGTCTAACTTTAAACTGTTGGAGAGTTTCTGTCTGTCACAGCTGGATATCGGTACTAGATCAATATCCAGATTTTTTAATAAATCAGGGTATTCCCAGCGCTTCATTCCTCCAGCAGGGTCTGAATTCCAGCCTGGACACCCCGAAATGCTGGGAGCACTGCAACATCAGGTTTAGTGCTGCAGGGAGGCCAGAAATCCTCTCCCCACTGTGGAACAGATACTTGGATCAAATCCAGGATTTACAGGGCCTCTAGCACAACAGGAGCAGATTTATTTTAAAATCCAGCCCTCACCCAGGGCACCCTGCACCCACAACTGCTCTCCCTTGGATTTGGGATGCCCTGAGCACTCATTTTCTGTCTGGATCTCCACACTCCTGGAGCACAGATTTACTGAGATCTCTGTCTGCACAGTGGGTTATTCCTGCTGCTTTTTGAACCACTTTCTTGAGGGCTGCACCACTGTGGAATTACAAGAATTTAAAAAAAAAAAATTTCCTCCTGAGACCCTGATTCCTCAGCAGAGGCAGAGTGGCACTTACTGTGTGCGATTTACCCCAGAAAATTGGTGATTTCCCCCAGAAAATTGGTGATCAACCCCAAAAACAGGTGATTTACCCCAGAAAAGGGGTTATTAACACCAGAAAAAAAAAAAAAATCCTTGCAAAAAGAGGGAATTGCATCTGCAGTCATGAGCCTGCTTTGCCTAAACACTTGTGTTTAATGTCCCTTCTGCCCAAAACTACCTGTGTTTAATGTCCCTACTGCCCAAAAACACTTGTGTTTGCTGTCCCTAGGTGTTTTTTCAGTCAGAAGTGATGCTCCTGCCCACATCCATCCCCAGCCTTCCATCCCACCCCAGCTCTGAGCTTTCTCTCTGTACCTTGTCAAGCAGAGCATTCTGCCAGAGTCTGAACATCATCATGTACGTCCTGTCTCGAGCCCCAAAGGAAGTAAAAAAGTGCTGGATGGGGAGAGAGGGAGAGAAAAATCAGCTCAGGAAAAGCCACAAAACAGGAGAAAAACACAACAAGGCTGTTTGGGGTCACTTTCCAGCTGGAGTGAGCCGTCCATCCAGCACAGAGTGAAGCTCTCACCAGGGAGTGAGCACTGGAACAGCTCTGTTAGAGATGTGCTGCTGTAAAACCTGGATATTTCCCCTGGCCCCACACCCCCCATCTGAGCTCCAGCCTCAGCCCAGCTCAGCACAAGCCCTTTTCCCATTTTGGAAGAATCCCTCACACTCTGAGTGCCCTGCCAGCCACACAGGGGTGGCCTCAGTACCTTTTCAGTGTCAGTGCAAACTTGGATGGCATTGGGAATGAGCCGTGCTGTCTTCTCCTTGGTCATGGAGCAGATGTCCTTCAAGCGAACTGTCAGCTGCACCAGGCAGGGAAAAACACCAGGAAAGGGAGAAATTCATGAGAAAGGCAGCAGAAGAGCAAATGTGAGCACAGGCCCAGGGTGAGCAGCAGTGGGAGAGCCTCACCAGTGTCTCCCAGCAGGGAAAAACACCAGGAAAGGCAGAAATTTATGAAAAAAACAGCAGAAGAGCCTTTCCAAAGCCAATGTGAGCACAACCCCAACATCAGCAGCAGTGAGAGAGCCTCACCAGTGTCTCCCAGCAGGGAAAAAAAACAGGAAAGTGAGAAATTCATGAGAAAGGGAGCAGAAGAATCTTCCAAAGCTACTGCGAGCACAGCCCCAAAATCAGCAACAGTGAGAGAGCTTCACAAGTGTCTCCCAGCAGGGAAAAACACCAGGAAAGGGAGAAATTCATGAGAAAGGCAGCAGAAGAATCTTCCAAAGCTACTGCGAGCACAGCCCCAGGTGAGCAGCAGTGGCAGGGCCTCACCAGTGTCTCCCAGCATGGAGAAACACCAGGAAAGTGAGAAATTCATGAGAAAGGCAGCAGAAGAGCCCTTCCAAAGCAAATGTGAGCACTGCCCCAAAATCAGCAACAGTGAGAGAGCTTCACAAGTGTCTCCCAGCAGGGAAAAACACCAGGAAAATGATAAATTCATGAGAAAGGCAGCAGAAGAGCCAATGTGAGCACAGCCCCAGGGTAAGCAGCAGTGGCAGAGCTTCACCAGTGTCTCCCAGCAGGGAAAAACACCAGGAAAGGCAGAAATTTTTAAAAAAGACAGCAGAAGAGCCTTTCCCAAGCCAATGTGAGCACAGCCCCAGGGTGAGCAGCAGTGGCAGAGCCTCACCAGTGTCTCCCAGCGGAAGATGTTGCTGTAGAAGCAGATCCAGTTCTCGGAGAGGTAGAGGCGGCCCTGCAGGAGAATGTCTCGCTGGAGGGCACATGAGTAATCTGTGGGAGGACAGCACGTGGTCAGTGAGAAGCAGAAAAGCCACATGGTGCCACTGATGCCTTAAGGTTTTTGTGGTTTTCAAATCCTGTGGTGCATTAGTGCATGACTCTAAACTCCATACTTAACTCTTCATGTTTTCGTCACACAAAACAACTCCTCTGGGCCTGAAACTCAAGGACACCCTACAGCCTCAGGTCCCAAAAAGTATAAAGTGGAATTTAGTATATAAAGTATAAAATGGGGTTTAGTGGAGCAGCAGACATTAAATAGAGGCACAGCAAAAGAAAAAAAGATTTGGGAAGGGAAGAAAACTGGGGGAATATGACTTCATTACCTGAAGCTGTAATTAGACAATTAACCCCTGATATGCAAATGGACTAAACTTATAATTGTCTGAAAAATTCGTGACCATTTTGGATGTAGCCCCTTGGGGGGGCTTTGACTGCCTTTAATGTACCTGAAGGCCCTTCATTAAAATATATCCACTTAATAAATATATGCTTTAAACTTTGTCTGGCCTCTGTTTCCAGACAAGCCCAAAAAAAGGCATCAGGAGAGCCTAAAGGTGAGGATGAGCATCAAGAGAAATTAACTCTGCAAGGCAAAGGCAGGGCCAGCAGGAGCTGAGCCCCAGCTGCTGCCTGTCCACTGGGCTGTTTCCTCCAAGGCCTTGTCCCAGGCAACCTCCGTCCCTGACTGATGGTCCTGCCTTATCAGCTGCTCACCCTGCAGCATCCCACGTGCTATTTCCAGGCTTCATCTGTCTTTTCCTTTCTGTCTCTCAGTGGCAGTGTGCATTTTCCCCCCAGTTTAAGCAGTGTGGGGCACAGGAAGGGATCACCAGTCCTGTCAGACACAGGAGCAGAGGAATCTCTGTGGCAGGCACATTCTTCTGTCTCTCAGGATTTTTTCATAGAGGAGCACAGAGGAAAGAAAGAGAAAACAATTTCTATTTCTGCTCCTTGTTTTTCCTATGTGGAATGTGTGTGGAGAATTCTTTACCTGGGGTGATGCTTGGTTGGATTCTGGTGAGGATTGTTTGAGCCTGGTGGCCAATCCAACCCACCTGGGGCTGGGCTCTCAGAGAGGGGCACGAGTTGGGAGTTAGATATGGTAATTAGAAAAAGTAGGTTTGTAGTTTTAGTATCTCCTTTAAATAGTATATTAATGCATTATAGCATAGTTATAATAAAGAAATCATTCAGCATTCTGAACTGGAGTCAGACATCAGCATTTCTTCCCCCCAGGTTCCCCTGCAGTTCCAATCCACCTCACCAGCTGTGCCGTGAGGTTTGGGAAGGGCAGTCATGGGTGAGCAGGGGTGTTGGGAAAAGGGAGAGGAAAAAGGGAGGAAAAGATCACATCATCCCCCCACCGAATGAGGAAAACCCATCAGAAAATGCAAAACCCATTGGAAATGGGGCTCTGCCTGTGCTCCAGGCTTGTGTCAGTGGCAATGTCTGGACATGAAAGGAGTGAGGGATTTCTCTTTACAAACTAACTGTGGTTCTGCTGGGAGACAAACCCAGCCCTGAGAGATAAAAGAAACAAAGGGATGGATCTCATTGATGAATGAATGAAAAGAATGAGAGGGATTTGTTTTTCCAAACAAACTGTGGGGCTGCTGATAAATAAAATTGGACACTGAGAGATGAAAGAAACAATGGGAAGAGCCACAAATTCCATAGGAATTCCACTGATTGACACAAGGAAAAGACAAAATAAAAAGGGGGGTACACATTAGAAAGGGGTTTGTAGTAGGGAAGTCTGAACCTCTCAAGTAACTCAGCTAATGGGGAAGAAAGGGAAATGTGGCTGGGAAAATGGGATAAAAAGGAGGCTGCGTCCTCTAAAAATTGGAGAGACCCCAAGGCAAATGCCCCATGGCCTCTCCCTTGATTCCAATAAAGTTACAGGACTCCTCTGTCTCCTTTTTGGACATAAATCCCTGGTGTTTGTGGATGGATTTCCCGTCCAAGAACTAAAACCTGGCTGGATATGTGCTGCTCTCCTCCCCAAAGCTCCTCGGGAGCTGCCCTTACCTGTCACTATTGGACACGAAATGAGTACACAGAAATTTGCTAAGTTTGAAAGAGAAAAAGACCCAGTTTTATTCAAACATCTGGTATTTATAGAATTCCAAAGGTGACTATGGATTAGAGGATGGAATTACCACTTCTTTAACTACACAGGTCTAAAGATCAATCGATCATTTCTCTTTACCCACAGAGAAATATGTAAACTATTCTATTTAGAAATATGTAAACTATTCTATTTATACATGAAATAGTGTGGGAACTCTGACTCTCAAACATGTAAGCATTATTAGAAGGCTAAAGAAATTTTATGAGCACTCAAAAACTTCCAAAAGCAAACGTAACACTTTTAGAAATCAGGGCAACACTCACCTACGATGAGGCGCTCCGTGTCCGGGAGCTGCTTGAAGAGTTTCCTGAAATCCTCGTTCCGCTGCTTGTACGTGGGGCTCAGCACCTGCCAAAAAATAAAGGGGCTGGTGAGGAGAGGGGCAGCCAGGACAGCTGGGACAGGAGTGGGGGAAGCAGGGCCACCTCAGGGACACCAGGAGAAGGGGGGCAGAGGCGTTGAGGAGCTCCCATCACAGCCCAGCGATGGGAGGGTTTGGGTTTTTAGGGCAGGGAGTGAGAGGAAGAGGAGAACCTGGCTTGGGAGAGCCAAGTCCAGGCTGGAAAAGCTGCAGCAGAGAGGAATTCTCTGTCCAAGGTAGGACGTGTGCTCTGCGTGCAGCTACCCCAGGAAATAGGAGATTCATCCCAGAAAATGGGGGGTTTACCCCAGATAATGGGGGATTCAGCACAGAAAACAAGTGATTCGGCACAGAAAATGGGGGATTTATCCCAGCAAATGGGGGACTCAGCAGAGAAAAGGGGTGATGTATCCCAGAAAATGGGGTATTTACTCCAGAAAATGGGGCATTCAGCACAGAAAATGGGGAATTCAGCACAGAAAGTGGAGGATTTGCTCCAGAAAACAGGGGATTCACTCCAGAAAACAGGATGCAGCACAGAAAATGGATTTACCCCAGAAAACAGATGATTCAGCACAGAAAATAGGTGACTTATCCCGATAAACGGGTGATTTATCCCAGAAAATGGCTGATTCACCCCAGAAAATGGGATATTTGCCCCAGAAAACAGGGAATTTATCCCAGAAAAGAGGATTCGGCACAGAAAATAGATTTACCCCAGAAAACAAGTGATTCAGCACAGAAAATAAGTGATTTACCCCAGAAAACGGGGGGTTTGCCCCAGAAAACAGGGAATTCATCCCAGAAAAGAGGATTCAGCACAGAAAATAGATTCACCCCAGAAAACAAGTGATTCAGCACAGAAAATAAGTGATTTACCCCATAAAATGGGGGATTTACCCCAGAAAACAGGATTCAGCACAGAAAATAGATTTATCCCAGAAAACGGGTGATTCAGCACAGAAAATGGTTGATTCAGCACAGAAAAAGGGGGATTAATCAGAGAAAATGGGGGATTTACCCCAGGAAACAGGTAGCTCAGCCCAGAAAATGGGGGATTCACCCCAGAAAATGGGGGTTTACCCCAGAAAATGAGTTATTCAGGCCTGCCAGAGGAGTTTGAGCAACCACTGTCACCGAGAGCTCAGGGTTCCCCCTGCCCACCCCTCTCCTTCACTTCTCAAAAGGCTTCTCAGTTCTCAAAATCCTCCAGAAAGGCTCTCCCGGGTCCTGACCCGTGTCCTGCCCTTGTTTTGTGCCCTGGCCTCAGGGAAGGGCTCAGGGAAAACGGGGCTGGAGGGACATCGGGCTCCTCTCTGGGGTTTATGGTGACAGCCCACACCTCCTACAGCTGCTCCCGACAGCCACAATTCCTCCTGCAGGCTCCAGAACAGAGGCAGCTGCAATTCCACACCTCCCAGAGAATCTGCAATGCTCCTTCTCCCACAAATGCAGAGAAGAAGCCACCTGGGGCGCAACATTTCCCCTCTTTATCCAACAATCCAGAGGCAGTGATCTCCTAGGGTAGAAATGTGGGAGTGTTCCAGCAAGGGCCCCAAAAATCTGAGATTAGAGAAGGCAGTTTCTGCTTAAGAATGGTGGTGGAGCCACAGGGGTGGGAGGAATACAGAGTTAATTTAGAATTAGCCTCACAGCACTGCAAAAAGCTATGGAGGATCTACCCCAAAAAACAGGGGATTCTCCCCAGAAAACAGGATTCAGCACAGAAAATAGATTTATCCCAGACAACAGGTGATTCGGCACAGAAAATAGGTTATTTACTCCTGAAAACAGAGGATTTACCCCAGAAAACAGGATTCAGCACAGCAAATAAATTTGTCAGATCAGAATTTGTCAGATCAGAAAATGTCAGATCACGGCAGATTTGATGTTGGTTGTCAAATCAGACAACCCCTCACCCCCAAAAGCATTCCCTGTTCCTCACAGCAGCTTAGTGCACTAGAAACAGAATATTCTAGAATATTCGTAGTGCACTAGAAACAGAATATTCCAACAGTTGCTCCAGCACCGTGGGCCCAGAGGAAGGGATCTCACTTGGAGTAAAACCTGCCAACCAGCTGATGACAGAAATATGAATTGTACTTACCAAACTCCCAGCCTGCACATCTGGAAAAGATCTTGGTCTGAGAAGGGCTCCAGCAGAAGCCCAAGCCCAAGATTTCCAGGAACAAGCAGACAGGAGGGGGACGGAGCAGGGAAAAGGGATTATAACCCCTGCAGGGCTGAGCTTTGGGCTCAGTGCAGCCCAGCTCAGCAGGAGCTAAAACCTGTCCTACCCAGCAGATCTGCCAGGGTGCAAACAGCTCCGTTTAGAGACACTCACAGCTGGGATTTCATCAGCTCCAGGGCTGGCATTTCCTCGAGAGAAGTCCACGAGTGCCTCTGGGTCCCACGGCAGCCACGGCAGCTCTTGATCCAGGAAAAGATCCCAGAGGGAGCCACACTCCAGCAGGGAATCCATCTGCTTCCCTCCTGCCCAGCTCCCCAGCTCCACTCTGCTCTTCCTGCTCCCACTGCTCCTTGTTTACGTCCAAAGTCGAGAGGGGTGCAGCTCGGCAGGAGTTTGGGTCACGTTAGGTGCCTTCTCCTGCTTTCCTGCCCACATCCAGCTGGTGCCCTGAGGATCTCAGCCAGGATTTGCCCTCCGGAGCACTTTTCCCAGAGAGGCTCATCGGGGTGATTGTGCTGCTGGGCACCCTCTGTGCTCTCCTGCTGCAGCCTCAGCGGCTTCTTGCTGCGGGCATCCCCTGCAGGAGCCCTGGCAGCTGTGAGCAGGGCAGCACCAGCAGCCCCCAAATATCCAGAGTGCCAGATCCGACCCCAAACAGCTCCGGCTGCGACTCACGACCCGGCAGGAGGCAAAGAGCTCGGAGATCAGCTGTCCCCTCTTGGGAAGCAGAAAAGCAGCGATTCTGCCCCCTCAGGCTCTCCCCTCTGCTCTCCAAGGCAGCCTCAGCCTCTGTGCTTCTCATGGAAGGGGCGGGAGGGAAGATCCCAAAATGACTCGCACACGCTGGGAGTCACTGGAGCCGGGAACGCTGGCGGCCAATGCCCGGCAGTAACCCAGCCCTGCCTCCCAGCAGATGTTTCCTGTCATGGAAAGTTGCTGGACAGAGTGTGCTGAGGAGCTGAGGGGAGCCTGGGACGTGGGCTCCTGTCCCACTCCCTGCACATGGGCTCCTGTGCCACTCCCTGCAACCCTCAGCGCTGACTTTGCTCTCCCAAACGCAGGTGGGCTCCCCTTGATCTGCCCACACTGACTGGGACAGCAAATATTTCTGATATTCTAATATTTAGGAACACCTGAAAGAGGCAATTGGCTGCTGAGGGGCTGGGAACACAAACCCTGTGAGGAACAGCTGAGGGAGCTGGGGGTGCTCAGCCTGGAGAAAAGGAGACTCAGGGGTGACCTTGTCACTCTCTGAATTCCCTGAAAAGTGGCTGTGCTCAGGTGGGGTTGGGCTCTTTCTCCAGGAACTGACAGAATGACAGAACACAGCCTTAAGCTGCACCAAGGGAAATAAGGCTGGATATTCGGAAAAGTTTTTTTACAGAAAAAAAACCTTTTCTGTAATGGCTGCCTGGGGAGGTGCTGGAGTCACGACCCCTGGGTGTGTTTAAGACAAGGCTGTATGTAGCACTGGGTGCCAGGGTTTGGTTGAGGTGCTGGGGGTGGGCTGGACTTGATGATCCTGAAGGTCTCTCCAACCTGGTGATTCTGTGATTCTCTAGATTCTGTGATTCTGTGTCTTTTCACTGCCCAGGTTAGTTAAAGGAAGAAAAAAAAATATTCAGGCGTGTGATAAATCAAAATAAAGGATGTTTCTGGGACAAACCAGCCATGGGAGGCCCACACAGGCAGAAATCCTGAGGGGCTGCACCTCTGAGTGTATTTTTGAGCCTACTCTTCTCCCTCAAAAAATAGGATTTTCTAGGATTCATTCATTAGTCAGGTCACTTTGCAAATGAAGGGCTGAATGAACTCCCTGCAGGTCCAGGAGATTTCCTGGGTTCTGGCACTCCCTGTGCCCCTCTGCCCTGAGTCCCAGCCTCTCCAGCTCCCTGCCCAGGTGCAGAAGTGCCCACAGCAGGGCACCAGATCTGCTCAGCTGCGAGCAAACACTGAAATAAACCCCTCCTTCTTCCAGAAGTGAGCACAGAGATCTCAAAAAGCACCAAGCAGCCAACCCAGCCCTGCAGAGGCTCTGCTCTGCTCCAGGCCAGGGCAGCAATTTGCTCACTGACAAGCTCAAAATCACTGAGGCACAGAGGTGTCTCCACTCAGCTCTGTAGCAGTGCATCCATCTGCACCCCAAGATAAGGGAATAACTAAAAAAAACACATTCTGGAGCCTGTGAAGGACAAAGAATTGGCATTACAGCCACCTGCACTGCTTTACTGAATGACCCCCTTGGCTGGAAACTCCAAATGGGATTGAATTAAAAGAAAAACCTCTCCCAGCCACCTGTGTTTGCAGAGGCGGTGCCAGCAGCAGTGGGAAGAGCTGAGCTGGAGCTGGAGGCAGCAAACATTAACTGCACTGCAAACACAGAGATGGGACAGGATGGCACTGCCCAGGTGAGGGAACCGCTCCTGGGGAAATGGGGACACAGGGGTCACTCCCCGAGGTGGCATCTCCCCGAGGTGGCATCTCCACAAGGCGACATCCCCATTCCACAACAAATCCTCCACAGGAAACTCCCAGCAAACACTGCTGGGGAAAGGGACAGGACAGGGAACACAAAACCTGAGGAATGCTGAGTCTTGGACAGCACAGAAAACAGGGAGCAGAGATGGCACGAGGCACACAGGAGAGCGGGGAGGAAATCTCAGCCAATTTTCATGACTGATGGACTTCTGTGATTTACATTGCTTCTGAGAAACTACTGGAATAAACAGAACATGTTTCCTGCTTGTGTGGGAGAGTTTAGACCCCACTGAGAGCAGGGCTGGTGTGAAAAACCAGCAAAGAAAGTGGCCACTTGTCCAACAGCACCTCCTCTAAACCCATTCTGGTTGCTCCGATTTTCCAATTTTTTTCCTTTTTCTCTTTTTAAAAGTGAATAAAAAGCAGAGGAAGGCACTTCAAAGTAATCACTGGGGTCTGGGCTGAAAAATGGGTCTGAGTTCATCATCACACAAGCTTGCACTAAGAGTTTACTGCTGATTTAGTGACTCTACAACCCAGCAACTGGTAATCCACACACTGAAAGTCATGGAAAACCTGACAGGATGAAAAGTGCTTGAAAGGCAGGGAGTTCAGCATTGCTCCAGAAATAATCTGATTAAATGGTTACTGGGAGTTAAAAGATTGTGTTGATTTACAGAGAAAAGGGGGGAAATACGACAGGATGAAAATACCTGGAAGACAGGGAGCTAAACATTGCTCCAGAAATAATCTGATGAAGTTATTACTGGGAGTTCACCATTATGAAATGGTTACTGGGGAGTTAAAAGGTGATTGTGCTGATTTACAGAGAAAAGGGCTCTTCAACACCTTGCTCACTCATCAGGCCTGGATTTTTGCATTAAACTCCGTTCCCATGATTGCTGCTGCTGAGGGAGCCTCAGCTGCCACCCCTGGGAACGGTGTTCCTGATGTTCTCCCAAAATGAGGCACAATTCCCCTCTGCCTTTATAGGGAACGTTTCACTCCTTCAGCAGCTGAGCCTCCCCTCCACTGTGGTATCCAAGAGCAGACACAGCACTCTGAGACCAGCCAGGGCTGATTTCTGACCAGTCTTGTGATGTCTGGGTATTCTCCAGAAGCTCAAGACCTGCTCAGAGTTCCCCACAAAGGCCCTTTGCAGCATCACAATCCACAACAGATCCTCAGCCAGCTCCTCCTGCACAGCCTTCCCCTGCATTTCCCCAGAGGACAACTCTGGCCTCTCCCCTTTACCTGCCTCCCCACTGGCATTTTGGGTTTATTTTTGAGACTCTGAGCTGCTGCCAGGCCGAGGGCTGCCCTGTGTGCATGGATTTGTTGGCAGAGCTGCAGGAGCAGGGCTCCTGTGCCACTCCCTGCAAATCCTCAGTGCAGACTTTGCTCTCCCAAACACAGGTGGGGAGGACTGGGCTCCTACTGATCTGCCCACGCTGACTGGGACAGCAAATATTTCTGATATTCTAATGTTTAGGAACAGCTGAAAGAGACAATTGGTGTCTTTTCACTGCTCAGGTCAGTTAAAGGAAGAAGAAAAATATTCAGGCATGTGATAGATAAAAATAAAGGAATACAGAGCAAGGCAGGCCTTGGGATGTAAATGCTAAAGTGAAAATATCATGGATTTAAATCTTATCTCTTCCCTGGTGTCAACTGTGTTTTCTTTAACTTTTCAAGTTAATCATATTCATTCTCTTTTCTCCTGATGCCTGGTGCTGAATTTAAGAAGCAAGCCTTGCTGCAGAGCAGCAGAAATGCTGCAGAATAATGAGACACACACCCTGATTTTGGAGCAGGGAACTAGAAGGATTCACAGCCCAAGTGAGGCAGAATGAGGCAGGAAAAGCATGGAAAATTTGGCAGGCTCAGTGACACAGAAATGAGAGCTCTCCATGGTCAGAAATGGGGCCCTTTGCCTGAAACCCAGAGAAGAAAAGGAGAGAATGAGAGAGATTTTATCCCTGGCAGCAAAATATCTCCAGTTTGTCTCTCACTTGAATGGCATCTGCTGGGTGACAAGTGTCTTCTCCCAACAGCCCAGACAGAGCAGCTCCTCCTTGGTGTCCTCAGGGAAGCAGAACACCAATTTCCCACCTTCAGAGCACCTCAGGGGTACAGAGTAAGGCACATCTCTATTTCAGCAAACAGAACTACAAAGGGAGTTTAGCTTTAAGGCCTGAGGTCTGTTTTTATGATTTTTTTTTAAATAATAAATGAATTAGCAAGAATTCCCCACGCAGACACACAGCCCAAAGCAGACACTACTGATGGTTAAACCACAAGTGACCAACTGAGTTTTTTCCCCCCTACAAACCACAGTATTTCCAAACCAAAATCTCCATGTACACAGTTCCTCACTAAAGGTTTGAGAAGCACCTCAGGGATTTTTCCTTTCTACTGACCTTCTGCTCTTCCACCACGAGGACAAGAACACAAAGCAAACCCCAAAACTCTGATTGAATTTATTCCCAAACTGGGGTTCTCTTCTCAATCTCACCGTGCACCTGCACCAGTTTGCATCTGTCCTCTGCAAAGCCAAGCAGAGAAAGCACAACCAGAGAGAGGGGCAGCTCTGCCAAACCAACCCACGACCTCACTTCACCCCTTTCCTCCCACTTCTCCACGGGGCAGGGATGGCAATTCCAAAAAAGCACTGGTGGGATCGACAGGAGGACACACAAGGCAGGAGAAGTTGGTGGCATCTTAAGAAAAAAAAAGAAAAAAAATAGAGAAAAGGGAATCCAGGAGAGGGGAAGGGAGGGTTCCTACTGGCAAAGAGGAATGCAGTGTTTCAGAGACAAAAAGACCAGTTAAAAGCAGCAAAAAAAAATGAAGAAAACTGGTGATGCCCTTCAGATCTTCGAGGCCCATGTGATCTTTTAGGGATTATTTTTTGGGTTGGGTTTGCACAGTGCCTGGCACCCAGGGCTGCCACACAGAACACAGAACAGTGTGGAGGGTGTTTGCCCTGGGCACGGTGGGGTTTGTGTAAAATGAGAGTGGGGGAAAGTGAGCAAAGGAAATGGTGAGGTTTCATGAAGAGGCAAATTCCTCTGATCCATTTCTAGAGCTGCCCTCAGAGGGGAGAGGAATGGAGAAACCAGAATGGTCCCAATGGCAGAAAACTTTGCCAAAATTTGCCTGGAAGGAGCTGGCAGAAAAGGGAAACTCTATCAAGGAGTTGCATTAGCAAATTTTTAATGGAAATAACACTGCCAAGTAGGACTGACTGACTTCCTGGAGTCTGTGGCTCATCCATATTTTCACACTGCTGCTTTTATCTGGCCAGAATGTCTCTGCTAACTAGAAAATGGGTTTGTTTTGTTTTGTTTACAAAGGAAAATAATGGGGTGGGGTGGGGAAAACCACAAAAAAATGCAGCCAGTGCTTACTCTCCGGATGTACTGTCTCTCATGCTGAAAATATATGGAGCAAAAACAAGAGAACAGAAAGATAAGATAGAGAGGACATGAAAACACAAGAGACCCACAGAAGCAGAGCACAGCAAAGCATCATGCAGCAGGGAATGGAGCTCAGCAGCTACAGGCAGAAGCAGTAAGAGCTAAAGTCACCTCTAGCCTGGTGACAGACAGGGTTTGGCAGCAGCCAGGTCAGACTGGGGCATCTGCTCAGTCCTTTATCTGCCACTTCTCCACAGTTTGGCCCGCCTTGGTTTGTATTTTATTCTTAAAGTAAAACATTCTTATTCTTTCATTCACTGCCTCTGTCCCTCTCTGCCTCTGGGGTCTCTTCCTGCCCGTGCTGTTCACACCCAGCAGGTTCCTAACTCTGCCTCTGCCCTCTGTCAAACCCCACCTCGCTGTTTCAGCCAAAATCCCACATTCTGCTGGCCCCCATCCTGCTTTGGATGGCTGCAGGAGGGCAGGAATTGTGGCTGACCATGGATGGCTGCTGCATTTGCCTATGGCTACTTCAGAGCCTCGAGGGTAGGGGCCTGACCATGCAAAGGTGGCACCGACTTTGTGCCCAGAGCAGAACCAAAAAACAACAAGGCAGAAGCAAAGGGTGGTTGGTGTTTCTCTGGGGTTGGTAGAAAATAATTCCTCTGTGGTCCCCACACCGCCCTGAGAGATGCAAAGGGTTTGCAGGGTGGCAGCTCTGTTTGTCACCACGTGTCACCACATCCCTGCCCTCGTGCTGGGACACCAGAGGTGCAGGATGTGGGGAGCACCACCAGAGTGACCAAAAGGACAAAGCTTCTGCTCTCTGTCTCTGGCATCCCTTTGCTCAGGATGCCAGCCCTCCTTTGCCAGTGCTGAGCCATTTCCAGCTCCTCCTTCTGGAAATGCTCAGAGTGCCCCAGTGCCACTGCAAAGCCCCTTGGCACCTTCCCCCCACCCAGCCCACAGCCACCCAGGGACAAGAGAAACGGGAGTACTTACATTATACCAACTCTGGCTTTTCTGTAAGGACAAAATAAAAGAGAAGCATTAGTTAGCACAGAGATCTTAGGATCAAAAAGAAAGAGGGACAGAGAAAGCAGGTCCAATCTGGTTGGGATCATTAGTGAAGTGAAAGTGGGATTAAACAGAAGATTTCAATGGGTTTCCCAGTGTGGTCTAGCACAGTTATCCCCAGGTACAGGAGCAAGGGACAAATCCAGCAGCAGGAGTCTGGAACGGGAAACAGGTCAGGCCAAGGTGTGCATGTCCACATGCACACACACACAGACATGCTGCCACCTTGTCTGCAGACCAGCAGTGCCAGCCAGCAACACAGGAGCTCATCATCACCACCATCATCATCATCATCACACCATCACCATCACGTCATCACTGCCAGCCTCCTCTTTAGGGGCTTCATTCTCCCAGCTGGTAACACTCACATTGCCCTCAACAGCCCTTGGAGCACTGATAAGGGCAGGGACACAGTTTGGCTCACAAAAGGCAAAAGTTCCAAGGGTATTTTGAATTTTAAAAGGGAGACACACACACACAGAGCCAGGAACAGTGCTGTAGAAAATTGCTAAAGAAGCTAGGCAAGGAAAAAAAAAGGCTGGGATTTTTTTTTTTTTTTCAGCGTTTCAGCGCACAGTGTTTTGCATCATCAGCACATGTGATTTTTTTTTTCCCCCATCCTTATCATGGCATTTCAGATGGTTGGAGAGGACAGGCCACACGTCACATTGGAGCACACAAAAGAGCTGGCTCAGCTTGGAAAGTCAATTTTCAGCTGGAGGTGAGATTTATCTACAGGGAGAGGAAGAAATGAGCTTCCCACTGCAGCCAGCCTGGCTTTCCAGCAGCAGGACACTGAGCTCCTGCATCCAGAGCTGCCAGCACACACAGGAATCCCCCTTTTTTGGGGGGATTTCCCTCATGGCAGTGAAGCCTGGGGGCACCAGAGCCCTTCCCACCGAGGGTGGGCAGCTCCAGCTGTGCTGTCCCCTGTCCCAAACACTTCAGTGGGAGCTGAGGATAACACACAAGGACAGAAGCAATATCTCACTGCCTTTCCTCCTCTGAAGCCATCTTGCTTCTGACCTTGGAGAATTTTCCAGGCTTTGCAGACAGTTTGAAATAGGAAGGGAAACATTCTGTGCTGTGCCTCGCCACAGAGGCTGCAGGAATTTCACTGGGAATTCCCTGGAATATTCACAGGGGCATAGACTGCCCACCAAGGGCACAGAGGGTGTTCTGCCACAGGGAAGGAGAAGCGTTGATGAGGTCAGATTGGAACAGATTTCTGTGAAGACACAGGGGCTGCTCTGTTCCCACCCCTGGATCTCCCTGCTCCAAGTTCCCTGTGAGCCACTCCAGCCACAAAACCTCACTGGATCCCACTCTTGGAGCCAACCTTTCTGAAGGATCCATTGCAGAGCTCCCAGTCTCCCGTGAAAAGCCCCACAGTAACACAGTACACAGGCTAAAATACAAAAAATTGACATTAAAAAGAGGAACACCCCCTTTTCCCCCCAAATCCTAGGGAAAGGAGATGAGCTGGGGACTGAACACAGAGCATGGCTCATATCCCATACTCATTCCTCCAACCTGAGGAATTTCCTCTTAATTCCCACTCTTTTCCATACTTGGCCACACCTGATCCATTCATAAAGGATTGGGTGGAAGTCATCCCTCCCTGCAAGTAGGACGTGGAAAAAAGCCTTATGCAACCCAGACTAGACTAAAAAAAGAAGCAGGGTAATTAATCTGAGCCATGCACACAGCACCTTGTCCTCAGGAGCACAGGGCCTGAGATGGAGTGATTTTCCTGCAGATTTGTTTTGCCATCTGTCTGCCTTAATGAGCAAAAGGCGTAACTCAGAAATTCCTGGGGAAAAAAAGCTCATAATCAAACTATAATTGGCACACACAGAGCAGAGGCACTGCTGTCACTCTGCCTCCTAAATCAGGGTGCCCGTGCTGTGGTGTCAGCACGGCCCTACAGGATTTCAGTCCCCCCCTCCTGCATTCATTGCAGAACTATTTTTTTTCCCCTCCTCACATTTGAATTTCCCTGAATCAAGGGTCCCCTATAAAGGAGCTCTGCAGGTTCTTCTTTAAGCTCTTCCACACAAAAAAATTATACTGATATCCGTAATTATACTGAGGTCTATAATTTTACCAACATCCTTAATTATACCAACACTCAAACCTCAGCTTTTGTCTCCACCAAGTTCAACAGACTTGACCAAAATCCAAACAACCTCAGCCCTTAAATCTCCTTCTAATTTATCTTTGTTTTTTTTAAACTCACTGAGAGGGAGATGCAAACTGTGAAAATAAAGAGACAATAAAATGGAGAGGGGGGGAAAAAAGAAAGAAAAAGGAAAAACATATTCTTACTTTGAGCAGGTTAAGTCTGTCATACTGGAAAAAGAAACCATAAGCATTAGAACTGAAAAGAGAAAATAAATAAGTAACAGAAGGAGGGGGTTGCACACAGACAGGGAGAAGATGGGACAGGTTTGCAGAGATGATGCTACAGGAGCACAGAGCAGAGCTCGTGGTTACAAGGGGGCTGTAACCAGGCAGAGCTGTGGGGGAGTGTGAAAAATGGAATATTTTCTCTAAGCCTTGAATTTTTGCCTCTAAATAGTCACCGTTTAGTGACCTGACAGCTGTGTGCAGTGCTGGGGAAGGTTACAGCTCTGCAGGGCACACAGGGCACACACCAAACCTCACCTGACAGCTCCAAACAGAGCTTCTCCCTCCCAGCAGCATCACAGCTCACTCCCCGCTGCTCCCAGGGGAACAGAACCCTTCTGCCCAGTGAATGGTGTGCCACAGAGCTCTAGGAGCACCCCAAAATCCCCCTCCCACCAGGGCAAGCAGAGGCACAGAACCAGAGCTCAGAACAGACTCTGGAGCCCTCTCTCCTCATCTGTGCTCCTGTGAAAGCTACGCTGCCCACCCAGCTTCTAAATGCCCATAACTCCAGGAAATTGATGGAATTTCTCCCCCAAACCCTCACCCCAGCCCCAAAGGATCAGAATTTCATTCCCTACTCCCTAAAGGGGCTTTGTCCCACCCGGTGGGAGGGGTGGATGAGAAGACACAGCCAAACTCTTCTCATCGTGGCACACTGGAAGGACAAGGTGCAACAGTCATAAGCTGCAGCAGGGGAAATTCCATTTGGAGAGGAGGAAAAAGCCTGTTCACAAGAGTGGTTAAACACTGGAGCAGGGGTCTGGCCAGGCTGGGGGACCTCCAGCCTTGGAGAGCTGCAAAATGTGCCTGGACAAGGGTTTAGACCAAGCTGGTTAAACCCTGCTTTGAGCAGAGACCTCCTGAGATCCCTCATGACCTGAACTGTTCTACAGCCCCCAGGACTGCACCGAAATTCTTAATTTCCCCCTAACTTAATACGAATCATCAGCATTCACCATTAGCTACAGGCATTGGGAAGAATCTGAAGGAAACCACTTTTATCCTTGGGCAAGAGCAAAATAGTCAAAAAATACATATTTCATTGTTGGTTACCAGCAGAAAGATGGGTTTTTCCTGAGTTTGGAAAGCTGTCCCAGAAAGCCTAAGGCTCAGTCAGACCTTGGTCTGTGGCACAGTGGTGGGGTCAGGGTGGCAAAGAGAGCTCTGGGAAAGAATCCCCCAGGATGCAACTCCAGCGCCTAAAAACCCCTGGTGAAGCACTCCCTCTGACAATTCTAGTGCTTGAAAACTTCTGATAGAGCACTCCAGTGTTTAAAAACTCCTGGAGAAGCACTCCCTGAGACAGTTCCAATGCTTAAAAACCCCTGGTGGAGCACTCTAGTGCTTAAAAATCCTTATTTGAGCACTCCAGTGCTTAAAAACTCCTGGAGGAGCACTGCCTGTGACAATTCCAGTGCTTAAAAACTCCTG